TTGGTAGCGGTTGTCTGGGGATGAGTTGCTGTGGTTTGTTTTAGAAGTTGCTGGGAGTTGAAGCTAGTCTGCAAGGAAAGGCTTTTGAACTGAGCCATGTCAAGGCTTTATTCTGTCCTCTTGGCTTTTGGGGAGAAGTGTGGGTAGCAGTTAGCTTATGTGCCTGCATCTTGGGACTTTGAGAAGAAAAAGATTTCCAGAATTCTGTCACTTCTGCTTTCTCAGAAATAGATAGGTTTCAAAAAAAACCCCAACCAGACAATATCCAGGTGTTTGTTGCCTTTTATTACTTTTGTCTTTAGTCTTAAGCGGAAAGCAATTGCCTAAGAGCTCATAGTCTCAATATACTCCTTCTGTTTTCCGCCATAGCCTTCTACTTCTCCACTAAAACCACCGAAGGAGGGACACAGCAATAACTAGCACCTCTGCCCCAACAAGAGTAGTCCCTGGGGTCACTCCTGACATTAAAGTATGACTTGCTGCTGTCACCATTCATTTAGCGTGTCTGATTTTGCTCTTTCAGGGCACACTGTGTCGTTCTTGCCAAACCTCAGGTTTGGGTGCTATTTCTGGATCCTTTCTGTGCACTCAGCAAATGCACTGAACTATTAACTGCAGTACTTCTGGTATTTTGCTCTTGCATCTCTTTCAAGCTGCTGGAGTGTGGGATTATTATATATATTTTTTTTAATGGGAATGGGGGAAAGAGCAGGATTCATCATCTGAAGCTTATCAGGCGAGCAAGATTTTGAACTGAGGCCTACAGAAATGAATGGAGAGATATAATTCTTCTATCATGAAATTGTCTTTGCAGATTTACACTAAAGGTGTCATATTCTGTATACTGCCATGCTGGAACTGTTTCCAAATGATTTACTGACGTTTATTTGGTGACCTGCTGTTGCAGCAGCCTGCATGATGTTCTCCAATTCCTCAGTTACTGCCAGTAATGCAGCTATCTCATGCCGGCTGTGTTGCCTGTTTATTTCTCTTTTCCATTCAATTAAGAGTTTAGCTTAATATTTTTGGCATGTTTTGTCTCTTACTTATATGGATACAGTGTATGGTCAGCTGCTCTGCTGTTCTGGTTGAACCAAGCTGGGCAGGGAATGCCTTTGCTCCTGTGTCAGTAGAACGAAATGCTGCCCAAGGAAACTTTTCCCCCACATTCTGATTTTGTTTGTGTAGTTGGGGAGCTATGCCACTGTAAGTTAGGGATAAACTTCAGTTGATGCTAGTGTCATTTATTGTGTTGACACTCTTTAACTTGGAACGGGTACCCTTTTCTATTTTAATTTGTCACGTGGAAGCAATTTGATAAACTGGGAGGCGAGGTGGGGAGGAAAATCCATACAAAAAACTGTATCCATTAGGGAGTGAGCGTTCAGCTAGATGACTAAGACATGGCCATGTACTGAGGTTGTCTGTGATAGCTGACCTTGTGCTCCCTTTGCCCAAGATAAAGGCAAGGTAAAACGTGTTAGCTCAGACCCTTGGCAAAAGTGTTTTATCCCACAAGCATTTGCTGGGATAGACTGCAAATGCGTGTGGTGTCACCAACAGCCGAGGCGACTCACTCGCTGGTGGGGCTGAGATAACAGTGTAACTATACTTACACCATGGGGGAAATTGCCAGTGTGGTCCAGCCATAGTTTATGATTCATTCAATTTAAAAATACTTGGTGAGAATACCTCTGATAATACCATCTGGTGACTTTAAGTAATATTTATTCCTAGGAAGATAGTTCTTTAATTAAGGAATTAACCTTAATTTTTGTAGGCTTAGCATAGATCTGGAGAAATGCTCAAACTTAAGCTGCTGTATTTCATAGAAGAGTCAAGTCTTTCTGTTTTGGATCTCCTTGTTGTCCCCTTAAGGATCAGCTAATTGAACTACTGCTGCTTGTTAAGTGAAAAACTTAACAATGAGAGTATGAGAGACAAAACGGGCAAAGCTTTTCTCTGACTGAGGTTCTGGAGCTAGCTGATAGATCTAGCAGCCTCTGTCATGAAAGAAAACTGCTTCCACTCAGTTCTTTTTGTTTCCCCTTTCTCCACTGCCCCAAAGGAATATAGAAAGGCAGCATGGTTGTCATGTAATGTCTAAACTACCAAGAGAAAACTTCTCTGGTACTGAAATTCAGCATCTGGACACTTTTTTTTTTTTTTTTAATGTAATAGGCAAAAAGCATTTTGATGGACATCTAGCATTACTAAGATCAGTGCATATACAAGTGATTCCAAAAGAAAGCTGTGCTAAGACGACCTTCTTTGCCAAATGGCTTAGCCCAGAAGTACACTTACTTTCTTCCCTGAGCAGTGCCAAGCACTTAGAGTTCTCCTTGAAAGAAGGCCCAGGCTGAACACATTGATTCTTTTTTTTCTTTTTTCCTGGAAGATTTGTGTATACTTTCTTCTCCCCCGTTATATTCTGCCTCTGGTAATAACTAAGACAATAGAGCCTGTCTGGTTTTAGAAGCTCCTTTTGGAATTGTGTGTTGTACTCAGGTGTGCTGAAGTTTTCTCAAGATAGCATAATTAAAACCTGTTTTGTAAAGCATGTAAGTGATGGGTTGGAATGGAAATGAAAATTGAAGTTGTGTCTTCTATATGCTGCTGGTATATCCAGACTGCTGCCAGCTTTATTTTGCAACTTAATCACTAATACATTTTTGTGAGTTACTTATTTTTCTGTTAAAGTTGCCTTCCTGGGAGCCAGCTCATTAGCTAGCATTGTGCATAAAGCCCTGGTTCTGGGAGCACAGTCTTTTGACAGAGGATTTTTCAGACTTCACATGAGTGTTCATTGCTGCCTTACATTTTCACTTTGTAATAATTTCAGAGACAGACTTCAGGCAGTCAGAGTTTTGCCTGAATTGACTCGGGGTCCTTGTCCAGCAGCTGAAAATCTGTGGGCAGGATCTGTACTTCCAACTTCAGGAAGACTCTGACTTCATGATCAAGAGTCTACTCTCCTGCAATTTCACCAAGAGTCTTTGTCCCTTGACAGCCATGACTGTGTAGATCGGATGCTCAGAGAGCTTGGTTTCTGATTGAGGAAGATACAGGCTTGTAATTTCATGAGTCCTGTTTTGGCTTGTAGTTTTCTGGAGTTTGTTAGTGCTATTGTTCTACTGGGTGACTGTAAGAAAGTGGAACAAAACAGAAAACAGTCAGTTGTCCAGCAAACAGAGGTCTTGCAATATGCTGCTTTAGCAGACCAATGTGGTGTCCTTGCTCTGCCTCCATTTTGTGTCCTTCCCTAAAGCAGAATTTGTTGGAGCTTTGAAAGTAGGTGGTATTTAAGAAATAATTATTTTTAATTCTGACCTGTCCTTTTATGCTGTGTATTTGTAACTGTGTTTTAAAACTGTGCAAGTTTTCTATTCTAGATAAACCATTAATAGCTGTACATAGATGATGCAGTGAAGAGCTGTGGATGTTAACAGGATGCAGGTATCTTATGTCCATAGTTTAGAGTATGCACAGTGCCTAGCTGTTAAACCACTTCAGTTTCAGGGCTACAGAGCTTGGGAAGTGTTTAGAGTGATAGAGGCAGATGCAAACAAACTCCCATCACTCGTAAGTAAATTGCCTCGCAAATGGAGAATGTGTTGCAGAAGAAGATTCAAAAAGGACATCTCCAACACTTTGAGGGGAAAGAACATGACTGGGAGCTGTTTCAGAGCTTCTGTTTTATTAAATATTGGTTTTGGTATTTTTCTCTCTAAAATTTTCTTGAAATCATGAATTTTATCCATGAAAACTGGAGTGTGTGATGACTGATGTTCCATTGTCTGCCTGAGATATTTCATTGGCAGAAGCAGTGGGTGTGATGGGGCTATCTTCTTTGCTATGTGTAACCTGGTATTTGCTGCATTCTCTGGCTTTAGGCTTCTTAGGCCTTTTGCCAAAGGGATTTTAGTTTCCGTGGATTCAAAGTGTATTTTTGGTAATTTCATTTGTGTTAATGTGTTTTAGGAACATTAATCCTAATGAACATGAGGAATCAGTAGCATTAACTAGTCAGACCGAGTTCAGGCAAGCAGTGACTCCTATAGTTTTACCAACATGTTCAAATTCATTTCTGTGTTGTCCTTATTACGCTAATCCAACATGCTCTCATTTGCTTCTTCTGCTACTCCACATCCCCCAGAACTGCTGGTTCCATTTCTGCTTAATGCATCTCGTTCCTGATCTCTTCAGTATTTGCATGCTTAACATGTTTCACTCACAAATTAACGCACTGGCTTTGTGCTGAGTTATTCGCTGTTCTGCATACCTGATCCACCACTAGATCTTCTTGCTCTTGAGATCTGCTTCTTGCTCTTGAGGACAGCTGTGTAAAACTGTGAGGTTTCAGAAATGTGAGGAAAACCAATTTATGCAGTCATCTATTTGTCATCATCCTTGCTTCTGCTTGCCATTTCGGAATATTGAGCTCTCCTATGCAGACTCTGCCTACATTCGTGTCCTCCCCATTTGAATCTCTAATGATTTAAGGGTCAAAATAACAACTAGACTATAAATAATTTTTCTAGTCATTGGTTATATTAAAACTGGGAAGAAAAATACAATTCAGCTTTTTGAAAAATATTATACCTATTCAAACCAAACAAGCAATACAGCCCTGAAAATGTAGCCCTATAGAGGAATGATGACTTTCCAATATAAATTCTCACCTTGAGTAAGTGAAAGCCACCTTTGTGCTCAGGATATGGAACTTGCTTTGGTGCAAAATGAGAATCTCTTGCAGCTCTAAAGGTGTAATCTTGGTACTGTGTGCTGTTTGTCTAACACCAGTAAAAGCTGGCTGAGCTGCTTGATCTATTTAGCTGCTATGGAAATCAGTACATACCCAGCCAGAAAATGCATCCTTGCTTGTTGGCATGTTTCCTACATTTACATCAGTCTTTAAAAAGCAGAGACATATTGTAAGCTGCTCATCAGATCCCTGATGACCCAGTTTAGCAGATGTAGTGATTGGCTAATTGTTAAAGATGCCATTTTTGGTGGGTGAGAGGAAGAGCATCAGCCAGGCTTCTAGCAATGAAGAGTTAGAATCAGCGGAGGTAAGAGCTCTTTAGTGGGAGTAACTAGATAAGGCTTGGATTAATTTGTCTGGAGAACAGAGAATTATACTAAAGATTTTATAAATTCAGTTTATAAAGTGAAACTGTTGCTGTAATTTCCTTAATAAAGATCAATGTGGTGTAATGACTGTGCAGTATGGAAGTATCTCAGACTCCATGCTGTATTGCTGTGTCCCCACAGTACCACGGTTTTTAGCAATTTAAAAAAATGTACATGAAAAATGTCTGGAACTACCATGGTTGCACATCAAGTGTAGGGAGACTATACCTGGCTTATGTTCTTATAGCTGTTTTTGTGACTTAGCATGCTTGTTATAAGCAGTCTGAAGAAAGCAGGCAATGCAAAGCCCAGGGCTGTGGTCTTACATTTTCAAAAATGTACCTCAGTCTGCAGACATCAAAGAGTAGTGCATGTGAAGGAAAATACTGGGTTTTGAGAACATTGGCAAAAACTTGTGTAGTCTCCATGCCTTGCTTAGTATACTGAAAGAATAAAATTAGGTAAATGCTGCTTGCATGTAAAACATTATCTCTGTGCAAAGCAATGTGCAGGTAGGAGATGGAAAACAATAAAATTCAATGTTATAAAAATAATAAAATTCAGCAGTAATTAGATGGGTGATACTTTTAGTTGAGGGAGCTGGAAGCTATGTGATTCGTAAATGCACAAATGTATCAGGGTTTTTGTCAGGCTTCTGGCATTAGAAATAACAAGCAGAGGAACCAGAGCTACTGGTGCAGAACATGAAACTGGATATTATAGGGATAATATCAATCTGCAAGAATAGTAATCATGGCTTTAACATGCATTCAAGATTATGTGTGGTTCAGATAAGGGTAGATGTAAAAGGTGATAGGCTGTATTGTATGCAGTAGACTGTCTAGAAGAAAGAAGAATAATACTGATAACGTGGGATCTGTTTCTGGTCAAAATTGCTGTGGGGAAGAATGGTAAAAGAGGTCCCACGGGAGTACTGTGAGTCTGCTGTAATCCCTCATAGGACTGGATTTTGGATACAAATTTGCAGCTCTGAAATAATATTATTCCCAGTACCATTAGAGAGACAAATATTAGTATGAGAAACTTTAATTTCTCAGATGTAGCTTGGAGAACAATTGCTGTTAATAATAATAGGGTCAAAAAATTTCATCACTGTAGCAACCTGTTGTTGAGATAGTGAGTGAATTACAGGAAAACAAGTGGTTTAGAAGCCTCCATGTCTCCATCTAAAGGTGGGGTAATCATAATACAAGCTTTGATAAATGAAGCAAAATATTTAATGAAGTCAGTAAAATGGATTGAAAACTCAGACTTGAATGATGCAGTGTGTGTCTTGGGTTTCGGGGGTTTTTGGTGTGTTTTTGTGTGTATGGGTTTTTTTGTTTTTTTTTTGTTTTTTTTTTTTTAGAAGTACTTTGGATGCAAATTCTTGATGATATAAGTGAATAGAAAAAAAAATGGTAAGAAGAAACTTCAGCCTAACTGGAGGCATAATCACCTTATAAAGGTTGTTAGGTGCAAAAAGAGAATTTATTAGCAAAGATTGCTGTGCCTTTAAAGTCAGTAGGGATAAAATGAGAATTGATGAAAATCAGGTGGAATTAAACCTTACAAATGTTGCTAAGGGCATGGGTGACAGTTTCTCAAAAAACAATTAGAGAGAAGGGAAAATATGGGTCCACTTCGTGTTGGGGTTAGGGTAGTTGATGAGGATACTCTTCTTGTGATCACAGAATTGAACAAATCTTTTTTTCTTGTTGTTAAAGGTAGAGTTGATCATGGGAGCAAGGACAGGATGGGTGATGGGCATGAACCTACTGTAGAAGCAATCATGTTGGACGCTTCAAAGCCCTAGTGATGCAGGCTGGGCTGTGGAGCAGGATTGACTGGGGAAGGGTGATACCTATTCCTGAAAGTCAAAGAACTGTTTCATGAAGTTGCAGATCTGATAAGTCTTAATCAAATCAGGAGTGATACAAGTTTCTAGGACAGAAAACATAATAGCCCTATTGGTGATAGGGAGTGATTTGAGTAAGTACAGACCTGTTGGTCCAACCTCAGCTGTATGCTGATACAAAAATATTAATTAAAGATTATATAAAAAATATGTGATAAAAGGCAACACAAATCCATCAAAATAGGGTTGTGCCATATCAGCCTATCTGTTTTTAAGATAACCAATTTTCTTAACTAGGTAACATGCATTTTTCTTAATGGGATGATGTGTTTTACTGTAGATGGGTCATACAGCATCTGCTGTGGTGCTCCAGAAGAAAGTACTAATGAGGCTAGAGAACATGCAGTTTAGTGCTGGAATTGTGAAACAGATTAGGAGCTAACAGTGTTGTTCTGAGTAATTAAAAAAGCACAGGCTAGATCAGGTGCAAGAAAGGGCTTCTGGAGGTTGGAGAATAGAAAACCTGTCATGTGACAAAAAGACTGGAACAGCTGCTTGTTTAAATAGGTAAGAGGGGATACGTGGGGAAGGTTAGTTGTAAGGGACAGAGGAAAATATGGTTAATTAAGCTAGAGGATGGTACTGGCACAAGAGCAAACAGAAATTGCTCAGGAATAAAGTTAAGCTGGAGATGAATGCAGATCTCCACTGCTGGGGAGTGCTGTTCTAGAGCAGCCTTTTGGCTGGGGTAGTGTAGCTGCAAAACCCACTTCTAAGATGTAGCATGATAAATTTTATGAAGAGATTGGATGATGTTGTATGATAGCAGTTTATCTGGTCCTCTGTGTCAGGAGGTCTTTTCCAGTCTTAATATTTCTGTAATTTCAAAATTATTCATATGGCTAAGCATTTGCAGGAAGAAGACTATGATTTTATAACAGTTACCTAACTTGTGTTACTGGAAATGCATGTGCATAGCAGGTTATATGGTAATGTAGTTGGGCTTTTATCTCAAAATAAAATTATGGAGTACAGTGCCATCTTGTATTTGACTTATACTTGTGTACATCAATGTGCAGTAGTAAACCAGCCATTATGTCCAGCCTTGCAGAAAATTCAGTAGTTTATTACTGGTCAATAAAGTCCTGCTGTACTCATCTTGGTGCATACAAGTTTAAAAATAGGTTTTGTAATTTAATTTTCTGTGGGACACGGGAGGTGTGATGCTTTGTTACTGAAGAGTCACCCAGGTATCTTAATGCTGGTTAAATCTGCATCAAAAACTTTAAAGCATGGCAGTTCTATCTGGATCTGTAGTTAAAACAACAGAGGAGCTTAGGTAATGCTCTCTTCTTCCCCTTCTTGTTTTGTTTTGCCCATTTGATGGTTATTTATATGTAGTAAGATATCTGCACTAGGAAATGGCAAGAATTGGATTGTGAAATAAATGTCAGCTTTTTAATTTAGGGATTTGGTTTTAAAACCTGGGGCAGTAATATGGAGTAGCAAGAACAGGCTGAGGAAAAGACTTTGGGTTTTTATAAATTAATGTCTTTTCATAAAATTATGTTATTGGAGATACTAAATTGCCTGAGTGCATAGTAATGAGCTTTGCAAAAGAATGAAAGGCAGGCACCTACTGAATGTGTAGTTATAGAAAGGGGAAGGGGGGG